AGGGTAACCAACTCCTGACTCGACTCTCAATTTGTTTTAAAAAAAAACGTCCCTAGTGGAGTCGACAAGCTGTCAACACCGTTTTTCACCTGGGCGGGGAAAGACCGATACCGACTTGGGGGTTTTCTTTTTGAAAAGATTTTTCGAAAGGTGAGGAGTCGCCACCAATCATTTAAGGTGAGATTGGGACACCGTGAAAACTGGGTGATTTTAATAAAACATTTTATTTTTATCAAAATATTGAGTTTTGAGGTCTACAAAAATCCAGAAATCAGGTTCGGGAGTCAGTTACGCATGGGGAAGGATTAGCACCCCACAAGCGCCCAAAAATTGGTACCTAGTTGATTACCCTATATTTAAAATCAGAAATTTTGAGTTTGATCTTTATTTAATTTTAAAATCATTACGGATGAGAAGTTGAAAAATGTATTCATTTATTAAGACCGATAACATCCTCCCCTTAGCATAAACGCATGAGATCAGCTATTGTGCCTAATAACCGAGTATTGCCTTAATTTTAAATCATGATGCAGCCTTGAAAATGATGTCGACTTATTTTGGGAATTACCAGTAGTCACCCCCAGAGCATGATTGCGGGAGATATACTATTAATTCCTTAATAAGTAAACAATGCATTAAAGTTAAAAATAAAATGTGATCGAACAAAATTTTATTTATCCTAATTAAACTAAAATTAAATTAAGGTTATTTTGAGCTTAAAGTGTCAAATTATGAAATTCAAATGACCTAAAGGCTCAAACCTAGATGTGTAGGTTCTAATATTAACCCTATTTTATTTTTAAACCGATTATTGAATCGAATAATCGAGGCAGTCCCTTGAGCATTTACGCGAGGGCCGACTCAGATTATTCCCAAAATTAGGGGGACCTAATTTGAAGTCTAACTAAAAGTGGTGACTTTATTTATCCTATTTAACTATGTCAATGTTAAAGCTCTAATTAAGTTTGGGGACTAAATATTTAAAGGATTAAAACAAAAGAACTACAATTATGGGATCTAAATGTAAGAGTCTAAAACATAAGGATCTAAGTCTATAATTCTTAAAGTTAAAAGGACTAATCTACAAATAAAAACCCTAATAATTATTAAAAGCAATGATCTAAATTAAAAAAATTTAAAATTATTTGAAGATTAATAAATTAAGGATCCAAACAATTGACTCGAGTAATCGGGCATTTTTTTTTTGCAAAAACTCGAATCAAATTGTTCCCTAATTAAAACTAATGTGAAATCCTAATTACTAAATCAAATTTTAAGCTTAAAGATCTAATCTAAGAATAAATAAATAAAATAATAAAAAAGCTAGAATAATAAACCCCATTAAAAGAAAACTAAATAAGCAAAAAAATGAATATGTAATGATTAAATTGCAAGGAAAAGAAAACAACATTACTTAATTCGAAATAAAATAAAAATGTTCATAGTGGGAAAATTAAAATAATCAGTAATTAAGAATCTAAAATTGAAACAAATAAAAGTAAACCAATGGCCAAAATATAAAATATACAGAACCTTGAAAGACCATAGAAAAATTATACCTAAAATTCTTACCAGTTAAAGAACAAATAAAAGGTAAATTTATGTAATTAAGGCACAAATATTTAGGTTAAAATAAACAAACATTAAGGCCAGGACTATGGTGTAAAATACCACAAATATCAAATGGCATGAATACAAATAACCCCGAAACTTATTACCAAAACATAAAAAATAGGAAATAGCAAAACAGGGGCATATAAATTCGAAGTGTCATTCAAATGTATCAATCAGTGACCAAACTACAGGAACACCTTAAAACTATGAGGACTAAAAACAAATATACCCACAAAATACATATCATACATAAAAACGGGAAACAACCAAATAGCAAAATGAAAAAAATGGTAAATAACAAAAATGACCCTCTCATGGGACCGGAATGCAAAACACGGAGACTTTAGGGGAACTTAAGTGCGAAATAACCCCTAAAGTCTTACTATAAAACACATTTTACTCTTTTTTTTATTTCAAGCCTAACACTAAAAAAACTTTCTCTACACTCTTCCTTTTTCCACTCAGCTGAGAACCCTACCGGAGTCCAGCGCCGCCGATCCAGCCGCCACACACGGCGGTCGGAGCTCCTCAAACTTAGCTTAAAATGATCTAAACCTCCATATCTCTCTCCCTAAGCCCCTATTTGGAGCTAAAAACCTTAAAAACCGCTCAAAAATACCCCCAAAAATACATCGACGCTTGGGTTTCTTCTCAATCCGACCACCGTGGTTCGGTCTCTTTTCCCCTCTCCAGGTAAACACTTAACCCTATCTCTTTTTCTCTATATATATATTGTAAAATAAACGATATTTATTTATTTATTTTGTTTTTACTTCGAAAGTAAACCAAAAACGAAAAGAAATTCTACCTTAAAAATACCTTGTATTTCTTCTGAAAAGCGAGAGGGAAAAAGATTCTCTCTTGTTACATTTGGTTCGGGTTTTATAACCCAAAAAATTACATAGGCGTAGCATAAAATAATCAAAAGAAAAACCTAATCTAATACTGGGTTATTGTTGTGATGATTGTGAGCTTTTAATGCCTCGGATTTTCTGGGGTTTGTTGAAATCTCTGACATCTTTGCTTGACCAGGCTTGATGGTGGCTGATCGGCGTGGCTGTGATGTTGGCAGAATGCTGGAAACGCGGTAGCATAGGCTTGTCATGGCGTCGGCGGCTACCAGCTGTTTAAGGTTAAGGTTAGGGTTATGCTGTTTGGGCTAGGTTTGAATCCATTTGGGTATGGGTTTGGGCTTGGCTTGAATTCAGGTATGGGAAATAGACTCGGGTTTTTGGTTTTTAATTGGGCTTGGGTATTTTGTAAATGGTTTTATTTTGTAAACAAAATGGTGCTCACAATCTCGAAGGGTAAAGTACACAAATTGTCCCCCAACTATGGGTGATGTTTTGTTGAGTCCCTAGACTATTAAAAGTTACAAAATGGTTATTCGACTATAGGGTGTTGCTTTGTTGAATGCCCTAACTATTATAAGCTACAAAATAGTCACCCCACTATTTAGTATATTCCAAACTCGTCTTTTCCGTTAAAAAATTGACGGCAGTTTGAGCTGGATGTTAACTTGATGATTGAGATATGATAAAATTTGATCCCATAATCTAAAAAAACTATCATATCTCAGTAAATAGGTTAACATCTACCTCAGATTGTTGTCAATTTTTTAACAGAAAATGACGAGTTTGGAACATACTAAATAGTCATATGATAATTTTGTAATTTTTAATAGTCGGGGACTCAACAAAACAACAACTTATAGTCGAAGGATTATTTTTGTAACTTTTAATAGTCGAAGGACTCAACAAAGCATCACCCTATACTCGGAGACCATTTGTGTACTTTACCCAATTATTAAATACTAAAAATTCAGCAGTACTTGTATTATATCAAAGAGTGAATTCAATCCTTTAAATATAATGAATTTTAACTCGATATAATTTCAATACATCAAATTTGATTTTAAAATTAATTAAATTTTCCGTCAAGATCATAAATTTCGGATCGAAAGTTGAATCAATTAGATTTTTAGTTTTAGAATCGATTCATTAATTCATTTAAATTTTTATTTTAAATATTTAAAAATTAATTTTGTTTTTAAATAAAAATTAAATATAGTAAATAAAAATCATCGTGGAAAGGCTATATATGGAGATAGAAAAGTCCGAGTTTAATTGAGAAGTCAACTATAATAGTTTTATAAATATACCACCTTGTCTCGGTTTTATTTTTTGTAAAATCCGATTATTAGTCCCGGTACTAACCACGCGTTGTAAATTTAGCCCTTCTGATATAATATAGACTCTATATTCATTTATCGTCCATGTATATTTCAAATTTTGAAATTTCATTTTTAGCTCAAATAATCATTGAATTTTAATATTAAAAGTAATCAAATTGAAGAAGATTGACTAAATTTACAACTTAATCATAATATATTAACTAATTATAAAATGGGTAACAAATGGTCCTCTGACTATAGGATACTACTTTATTGAGTCTTCCGGCTATCAAAAGTTATAAAATGGTCCCTTAACTATAGGGATTTATTTTGTTGAGTCCCTCAACTATTAAAAGTTATAAAATGGTCCCTTGACTATAGGGAGTTACTTTTTTGAGTCCCTCGACTATTAAAAGTTACAAAGTAGTCACCTGACTATTTATTATATCCCAAACACGTCCTTTTTCGTTAAAACGTCAATGGTAATTTAAGGAAGACATTAACATATTGATTGAGATTGATAAATTAATCTCATAATCTCATACGACTATCATATCTCAGTCAGCATGTTAACATTCAGTTCAGACGATCGTTAATTTTTTAACCCAAAAAAAATGAGTTTGGAACATAATGAATAGTCGGGTGACCATTTTATAACTTTTAATAGTCGATGGACTCAACAAAGTAACTCGCTATAGTTGGGAAACCATTTTATAACTTTTAATAGTCAGGAGACTCACCAAAGTTGGACCATTTGTGTAATTTATCCTAATAAAATTTAACCAAACATATTCAACGATTATTGTTTGATTTATCAATAAAATTTCAAAATATAAAAAATAGAAGGATTGAAAATAGTTAGATTAAAATATATGGACTAAATCTATTATTACTATTATGATTTTAATGAAAAAATTCAAAGAAATAAAATAATTAATCAATTAAAACAAGGGCTTCTTACCACCTAGGCAGGGTCAAAAGTCCTTAATTTGACGGAAGATAATACTAATTTCTGTATCTTCCTTTTGATAAAAATATCCTCTCTCCCTCTCACCCTGATCGTCGTCGGAGATAATTTCGACGACCAAAATCGGGTCCATTTCCGTCGTTATAACAAGAAGAACATTATTATAAATAAACCAGAAGGAAACAAAGGCATATTTAACAAAATTTTCTTTTGAAAACAAGTTATTTTCATTTTAAAAGCTAAATTATGAGCGATTTGAAAACGCCATTCCAGCTCTTGGAACTCAACGTGATCTCGGCACAAGAATTGGAGCCGATATGTCGCCGTCGCAAGATGCGAACCTACGCGGTGGCTTGGGTCCATTCGGAGCGAAAACTCTCGACCCGAATCGACAACCGAGGTGACATCAACCCGACGTGGAACGACAAGTTTATTTTCAAGGTGGACGAAGAGTTCCTTTACCGCGAAACATCTGCGATCATGATCGAGATCTACGCCGTCCATTGGTTCCGTGACATCCACGTGGGAACCGTTCGAGCCATCATCGGAAACCTCATCCCTCACATCGCTTCCCGGCCGAACCGGCGCGACGAAGTTCAACTAGGGACGACGTTCGTCGCGCTTCAGGTTTGGAGACCGTCGGGTCGGCCGCAAGGGATATTGAACATCGGGGTGACGTTGATCGATAGCTCGAAGAGGAGCATGCCGTTGTATCTTCAAATGGGGTCATCGGCGATTGGGTACAAGCATTTAATGGGCGAAGAAGAGTACCCGGTCTCCACAACTTCGAAAAGCAACGACAATGAAAACCCTAGTCCTTTGCCTAAGCCGAAGCTCCGACGAACCAAGAGCGATTCGAGTTCAGTTTTCCCTTGCGATTTGCAGCCTAAGATACCCACAAAGGGTTCATCGATTATCAATGGTGGGTCAGTCGTTAATGGCGGAGGCGGAGGCGGGTCCATGGTTAACGGGTTTGAACCCGTAAAGAGAGGAGGCTCCATGCTAAATTACCCCGTCGGGAATCTTAATCCCGGAAAGGGTAAATCGGGGTCGGAGGAGTTTAATCAAAGGGGAAGTTCCATGGTAAATTTCCCGGTTTCGAAGATTACTTGTAAAAAGGTAGCATCTAGGGGGAGCTCCATGGTGAATTACACCGTCGGGAAACTTAATCCCAGAAAGGGAAAATCAAGTTCAGTTGTTAACGGGACGGAGGATCCGGGAAGAAAATCAAGAAAGGGAAACTCAAATTCAAGTTCGGTCGTTAACGGGTCGGAAGATCCGGGAAAAGGAAGAAGAAAGGGAAAATCAAGATCAGGTTCGGTTGTTAACGGGTTGAAAAAGCCGCTAAGAAAGTCACCGAACGGGTCATACGTCGGGGCTCCAAGAAAAGCCGGTAGAGAGAAAGCTTGGACCGATTCAGAAGTCGGTCCATCTCCGTCCGAAGTGGCGGCATCAATGGCGAAAAACATGCACCACAATAACAGGTTCGATGATTGCGAGAGTTCCATATTAGGGTGGAGTATAGAAGACGACGATAGCATCGAAGGGCTCCGATCAAAGCTGGAACAGTGGAGAAATGAACTGACGCCGGTTCGCGACTGGAGAAGCGACGGTTCTAGTTCCTGGTCGGGGTCTAGCATTCCGTCCTCTGAACGAAGAAGACATGCTAGACGACACTCCGACGGTGGCGGGTCGTTTGCATGTTTTGGTAACATTTGTGGGTGCCAGATTTCCATTACTTGCGGCGGCGGAGGCGGTGAGGAAGCCACCGGTAATAGAAGGCATCGAGCACCCGATAGCTCCATTGCAGATGACATGAGTTACATTTGAAATAGACAAAACGATAGTAAGGGACTTAATTGAAAAGGAAGTAAATTTTGAGTGGCCATATATACAAATACCTGGAACTAAAAAGGTTTGTATATATTAACAAACTTTTTATCCAGTTTGTGAGCTATTTTTTTAATTTAAATTTTATTATTCATAATATTTATTTACTAAATTTACTAAACATTATATTATTATAATTATTTATTAAAACATTTTAACAAATATACAATATTAAAAAAAAGAGATTAAAATTTAAAATACAATGTGTTATATATATTGTTAATAAATCTATATAAAATCCCATATTAGTTATATGCAGAGTCGTCCCCGTGCTACATTTTAGAATAAGGTCTTTAAAATATTTTATAATGAGATGAAATTGTAAAATATCAAAATTTATTATATTATTATTGTTTCTTATAAAACAAAATAAAATTCCAAACATATGAAAATAAAACAATGTCACAACACAACTCTATAATTGTAACACTTTATTTAAAAAGTGTTATTATTAGAACGCTCTTAGAAGTAAAATCATATCTTTTAAATTATGGAGCTTTAGATTTTGTGGTCCTGTGACGTATCACATGTTACACTTATCGATGGACGGACCTGATTATATGACTATTATTTTAAAATAATAAATATTTTAATTATTTTATTAAAAAATAATTTAATAGATTATGCATGGATTATTTTTTTAAATACACACATATTATAATTATTAATTTTAAACTCGTTATTAAAAATTGATAAATCTATATTAATCTAATTTGGGTATAAGATTCAATTTATATCCTATATATGACAGAAAATTTATAATCTCTTATTTTCTCATTATAAATAAAAAATATGAAATATTTGTGAACTGATATATGACCTATTACGCTAACACCATTAGAAATTCAACGTTTTAAAAATGATCGAATTTGAAATATGGGTAAAGTGCACAAATAGTCTCCCGTGGTATTGGTTTGTTGAGTCATCCGACTATTAAAAGTTACAAAATAGTCATCCGACTATTTAGTATGTTTTAAACTCGTTTTTTCGTTAAAATTGACGACAGCTTGAGTCGGATATTAACCTGCTGACTAAGATATGATAAAATATAATCTCAGAATCTAAAACTATTATATCTCAGTCAACAAGTTAACATCCAACAAAGACTGTTGTTAAATTTTATCGAAAAATAACGAGTTTGAAACATACTAAATAGTTGGTTACAATTTTATAACTTTTAATAATCAGAAATTAAATAAATAAATACTCTATAGAGGGGCCAATTTATAATTTTTAATAGGCGACGGACTATTTTTTAAGTTAAACTTAGTTTAAAAATAAGAGGACTAGGATTATCAATATCCCTTTTATTTATTTATTTTAGTTTAGTCCGGAAAAGGTGCCAAGCTGTATGGGGACACAAAAGGCATAAACAAGAAAACCAACTTTAAGGTTATCGGTTTGTAATAAAAGGTTAAGGAAATTCCTTTGAGCCGCGTACCTTGTGGGCTGACGCGGCGTTTCAACATCGAGTGGAATGCATGCGCTATTGGCTGTTTTTCCACGTTGCTTTTAATTTTTTAAGTTTTTTATATTAAATATCCACTATTTCTTAAAATTCATCATTCTATTTTTAGGGTAAATTAGGAGTTTAGTATCTAAACTATCAATTTTGATATATTTTATCACTTAAACTTTCAAAATTTTTTAAAACCATATCAACGTTTAATTTTTGTTTCATTTTAGTACCGTCGTTAAAAACTTAACCTTTTTAGTACTTAGACTATCAGTTTCAATCCGTTTTAGTACTTAAACTTTCAATTTTTTTAAAAAAAGGTTAAGTATGCTTTAGGTACTAAACGTGTTTTGGTACCTAAATTTTCAATTTTTTCAAAATTTAGTTTTTGGTACTAAAATGAAACAAAAATTAAACTTTAGTTATGGATTTGAAAAAAAATAAGTTTAGGCACTAAAAGGAACAAAAACTGATATTTTAGGTAATAAACACATAATTTACCTTTTTTTAAAGGCTCGTTCTATTTTATTATATAGTTTATTTTTTTACAGAAGTGTAGACACTCATTTTCGTCCATTTATTTCCTTTTTTTTTTATTTCATATATATCTATATATTATATAGTTTGCAAATGGTTTTTGAATATATATATATATATAGAGTTTTTTTAAACATTTTGAAAATAAATATAATATATAGTTTTTAAAATATTTTTAAATATATATATTATATAGTTTTTAAAACATTTTGAAAATAAATATAATATATAGTTTTTAAAATATTTTTAAAAATATATATATTATATAGTTTTTAAAATATTTTAAAAATAAATATAATATATAGATTTTAAAACATTTTTAAAAATATATATTATATAATTTTTAAAACATTTTGAAAATAAATATAATATATAATTATTTAAAAACATATATATTATATAGTTTTAAAATATTTTTTTTGAAAATATATTATATCATATGGTTTTAGAAAACATTTTTTTAAATCATAAATAAAATATAACTTTTCAAAAAATATTTTTTTTCTATTTTATTTTATTTGTTATTATTTTTATTTCATTTTTTTCGGTTTAGGTCTGAGTCCAAGAGTCCGATGCCATAGGTCCAGACGATCCAAAGTGGGCCTGATCCAGCCCGTAACCAATAGCCAAAGTTAGAGTTAGGGTTTCACATCCAGTCTCAGTAAACGACGTCGTAAGGGAGCAAACTAACGGCCAGCGCGTTTGTAACATCCCAAAATACGGGTTAGTGACCAAAAGTGTAAAATTTCAGAATATGGTGATTAAAGTATAATAGTTTAATAGTTTAATGATTTGTTCAGAAATATTTCCTAAAAGTTTATAGTAATTATCCAAAGAATTAAAGGGCAAAATGGTCATTAGACTTGAAAATTATAATTAAATGATATATATATATATATATATGGATAAGGAGGGAGATTTTCCAGAAAAATCTCTTCTCTCTTTTCTTCTTCATTTTCTCTTCTCCACGTGTGAAGCCAAGCAAAGGTGAGTTTTCTCTTGAACTGATTATGTGCTGAAATTTAAGTTTAGTTTTGATTATTAGATGCTAAGTAAGATTAAGGAAGGATTAATTTGCTTTAAAACAACAAAATGAAGAGTTTATGAGGATTTAAAGATTTGAAGTTTTTGAATGAAATATCGAAATAAAGTTTATATTGAGAATTGGAAGTTGAATTTGACTTGTCATCAAGTCAATTAAGGGATAGGAAGTGTTAGAATAGGAATTTGAACATGTTGTAAAACTAGTATAATTTTTGCAATTACATAGGAATGATTAGATTTGAAGTTAAAGAAGTGATTAGGGAATAAGAATAAGTTTAAGTATGTGTATTAAAGTTAGGAGTATTAAAGGAAGTGAAATAGGAAGGTTTGAGCTGAAATAAGGTGATTTTCGAGCTCAAAATGAGATTTCTGGGCTAGGGGAATCGGTACCCATTCAAGGGGAATCGATTCCCCCTCAAACGAGTATGAATTCCAGAATGCTGGAGGGGAATCGATACCCCCAAGGGGGGGAACCGATTCCCCCATAATGAAAAAAAAAGAGAAAGAAAAGAGACTAAACTATTAATCCCTTAAATTGGTAGGATATTAGAGGTTAATTTCAAGACTTGGGCATCTGATAATCATCTTGAAAATTATGCTTATGAAGATATGGAACGTGACTTTGTTTCAAAGTAAACGAAGGGTTTGAATTGATTCAATTCAAACAAGGCTAAGGTGAGTGCATGTGCATAACATAATTATGTTAGTATATTCAGTTTTAGAACTGCGATAAGTCTAGATTTAATATCTTGATACATGATTCATTCAATATTATTAAATATGATATGAATTCATACCATATACATTATGGGATATACTATGCAGATTGTGGTAAGTCTATGTTCCAGATTAGAGGTTATATATGAATGAGTTACGAGATATCTATATTAGGTATATGAAGTGAGTGTGTTGTGTTTGTTATGGTTTATATGTATGAATGAGCATATGTATTGACATGTTACAATATATATATATATATATATATATATATATATATATATATATATGAGTTGTGTAAATATGTAGATAAATGTGTTAAATATGTGAAATAGTTAAAATGATCAATATGATTTCATAAGAATATGAAATAAGAAGTATGAAAAGGACATAAGAAAGAATATGAAATATACAGAATATGAATATGAAATCATATGAGGGATGACATGTATGTATGTATGTATGTAATGGTTATATGAAAAGGTATAGGTAATAAGATGATCATATGAACATGTGATAAAGAGCTATAGAAAAAGAAAAATGTGATATGATGTATGAATATGTAATAAGGTAAAAGACAATGCCATGAGATGAGTTATGAGAACTGTAAGTATAGTTGGTATGCCAAGAGTCAAAGAACTACCTATGTCTTTCGAGACATATGGACAGTATACCTATGTTCTAAGGAACATATGGATAGTTTACCTAGGTTCTTCGGGACCTATGGATAGTTACCGAGGATCTTTATGACCTCTGGATAATTACCGAGGATCTTTATGACCTCTGGATAGTTACCGAGGATCTTTATGACCTCTGGATAGTTACCGAGGATCTTTATGACCTCTGGATAGTTACCGAGGATCTTTATGACCTCTGGATAGTTACCGAGGATCTTTATGACCTCTGGATAGGTCCTTCGGAAAAATTCATGGAGCTGTGGGGACAGCATACGTGTGCACAATCTCATAATACTCGTATACCTTGGGTTCTCAATAGTGTATATGGACTTAAATAAGACATAACGAGGATGTATATAGTTGTATCTTAATATGGTATTATTACGATTTGTATTGGCTCATATGTGGTATAATAAATGATGGTATGATAGTATAATTGTGTTTGGATAGTAGACGACATGTTTATATTTAATAATTCTTTATCATGTAATTATGCCTCACTAAGTCTA